CCCAACATCATCAGCTGAGACCTCGACAATTGCCACCTCGACCGCTGAGACTACTACAGTTCCGACATCTTCAGCTGAGACCTCGACAATTGCCACCTCGACCGCTGAGACGACTACAGTTCCAACATCATCAGCTGAGACCTCGACAATTGTCACCTCGACCGCTGAGACTAGTACAGTTCCGACATCTTCAGCTGAGACCTCGACAATTGCCACCTCCACCGCTGAGACTACTACAGTTCCGACATCTTCAGCTGAGACCTCGACAATTGCCACCTCGACCGCTGAGACTACTACAGTCCCGACATCTTCAGCTGAGACCTCGACAATTGCCACCTCGACCGCTGAGACTAGTACAGTTCCGACATCTTCAGCTGAGACCTCGACAATTGCCACCTCGACCGCTGAGACTACTACAGTTCCGACATCTTCAGCTGAGACCTCGACAATCGCCACCTCGACCGCTGAGACTACTACAGTTCCGACATCTTCAGCTGAGACCTCGACAGCCGAGACCTCGACAATTGCCACCTCGACCGCTGAGACTACTACAGTTGCGACATCTTCAGCTGAGACCTCGACAATTGACACCCACCTCGACCGTTGAGACGTCTACAGTTGCGACTTCTACAGTTGAGACGTCTACAGTTGAGACCTCGACAGTTGAGACCTCTACAGTTGCGACCTCTACAGCTGAGACTTCTACAGTTGCGACCTCTACAGTGTGAGACCTCGACAGTTGCCACCTCTACCGGTGAGACTTCTACAGGTGCGACCTCTACAGCTGAGACCTCGACAATCGCCACCTCGACCGCTGAGACTACTACAGTTCCGACATCTTCAGCTGAGACCTCGACAATTGCCACCTCGACCGCTGAGACTACTACAGTCCCGACATCTTCAGCTGAGACCTCGACAATCGCCACCTCGACCGCTGAGACTACTACAGTTCCGACATCTTCAGCTGAGACCTCGACAATTGCGGCCTCGACCGCTGAGACTACTACAGTCCCGACATCTTCAGCTGAGACCTCGGCAATCGCCACCTCGACCGCTGAGACTACTACAGTTCCAACATCATCAGCTGAGACCTCGACAATTGCCACCTCGACCGCTGAGACTACTACAGTTCCGACATCTTCAGCTGAGACCTCGACAATTGCCACCTCGACCGCTGAGACTACTACAGTTCCGACATCTTCAGCTGAGACCTCGACAATTGCCACTTCGACCGCTGAGACTACTACAGTTCCGACATCTTCAGCTGAGACCTCGACAATTGCCACTTCGACCGCTGAGACTAGTACAGTTCCGACATCTTCAGCTGAGACCTCGACAATTGCCACCTCGACCGCTGAGACTACTACAGTTCCGACATCTTCAGCTGAGACCTCGACAGCCGAGACCTCGACAATTGCCACTTCGACCGCTGAGACTAGTACAGTTCCGACATCTTCAGCTGAGACCTCGACAATTGCCACTTCGACCGCTGAGACTACTACAGTTCCAACATCTTCAGCTGAGACCTCGACAATTGCCACCTCGACCGCTGAGACTACTACAGTTCCAACATCATCAGCTGAGACCTCGACAATTGCCACCTCGACCGCTGAGACTACTACAGTCCCGACATCTTCAGCTGAGACCTCGACAATCGCCACCTCGACCGCTGAGACTACTACAGTCCCGACATCTTCAGCTGAGACCTCGACAATCGCCACCTCGACCGCTGAGACTACTACAGTTCCGACATCTTCAGCTGAGACCTCGACAATTGCCTCCTCGACCGCTGAGATTACTACAGTCCCGACATCTTCAGCTGAGACCTCGACAATCGCCACCTCGACCGCTGAGACTACTACAGTTCCAACATCATCAGCTGAGACCTCGACAATTGCCACCTCGACCGCTGAGACTACTACAGTCCCGACATCTTCAGCTGAGACCTCGACAATTGCCACCTCGACCGCTGAGACTACTACAGTCCCGACATCTTCAGCTGAGACCTCGACAATCGCCACCTCGACCGCTGAGACTACTACAGTTCCGACATCTTCAGCTGAGACCTCGACAATTGCCTCCTCGACCGCTGAGACTACTACAGTCCCGACATCTTCAGCTGAGACCTCGACAATCGCCATCGACAATTGCCACCTCGACCGCTGAGACTACTACAGTTCCGACATCTTCAGCTGAGACCTCGACAATTGCCACCTCGACCGCTGAGACTACTACAGTCCCGACATCTTCAGCTGAGACCTCGACAATTGCCACCTCGACCGCTGAGACTACTACAGTCCCGACATCTTCAGCTGAGACCTCGACAATCGCCACCTCGACCGCTGAGACTAGTACAGTTCCGACATCTTCAGCTGAGACCTCGACAATTGCCACCTCGACCGCTGAGACTACTACAGTCCCGACATCTTCAGCTGAGACCTCGACAATTGCCACCTCGACCGCTGAGACTAGTACAGTTCCGACATCTTCAGCTGAGACCTCGACAATTGCCACCTCGACCGCTGAGACTAGTACAGTTCCGACATCTTCAGCTGAGACCACGACAGCCGAGACCTCGACAATTGCCACCTCAACTGCTGAGACTAGTACAGTTCCGACATCTTCAGCTGAGACCTCGACAATCGCCACCTCAACTGCTGAGACTACTACAGTTCCGACATCTTCAGCTGAGACCTCGACAATTGCCACCTCGACCGCTGAGACTACTACAGTCCCGACATCTTCAGCTGAGACCTCGACAATTGCCACCTCGACCGCTGAGACTACTACAGTTCCGACATCTTCAGCTGAGACCTCGACAATTGCCACCTCGACCGCTGAGACTAGTACAGTTCCAACATCTTCAGCTGAGACCTCGACAATTGCCACCTCGACCGCTGAGACTAGTACAGTCCCGACATCTTCAGCTGAGACCTCGACAATCGCCACCTCGACCGCTGAGACTACTACAGTTCCAACATCTTCAGCTGAGACCTCGACAATTGCCACCTCGACCGCTGAGACTAGTACAGTCCCGACATCTTCAGCTGAGACCTCGACAATCGCCACCTCGACCGCTGAGACTACTACAGTTCCGACATCTTCAGCTGAGACCTCGACAATTGCCACCTCGACCGCTGAGACTACTACAGTCCCGACATCTTCAGCTGAGACCTCGACAATTGCCACCTCGACCGCTGAGACTAGTACAGTTCCGACATCTTCAGCTGAGACCTCGACAATCGCCACCTCGACCGCTGAGACTACTACAGTCCCAACATCTTCAGCTGAGACCTCGACAATTGCCACCTCGACCGCTGAGACTACTACAGTTCCGACATCTTCAGCTGAGACCTCGACAATTGCCACCTCGACCGCTGAGACTACTACAGTTCCGACATCTTCAGCTGAGACCTCGACAATTGCCACCTCGACCGCTGAGACTAGTACAGTTCCGACATCTTCAGCTGAGACCTCGACAATTGCCACCTCGACCGCTGAGACTACTACAGTTCCGACATCTTCAGCTGAGACCTCGACAATTGCCACCTCGACCGCTGAGACTACTACAGTTCCGACATCTTCAGCTGAGACCTCGACAATTGCCACCTCGACCGCTGAGACTACTACAGTCCCGACATCTTCAGCTGAGACCTCGACAATTGCCACCTCGACCGCTGAGACTAGTACAGTTCCGACATCTTCAGCTGAGACCACGACAGCCGAGACCTCGACAATTGCCACCTCGACCGCTGAGACATCTTCAGTTCCGACATCTTCAGCTGAGACCTCGACAATTGCCACCTCAACTGCTGAGACTACTACAGTTCCGACATCTTCAGCTGAGACCTCGACAATTGCCACCTCGACTGCTGAGACTAGTACAGTTCCAACATCTTCAGCTGAGACCGGGA